TTTGGGATCATTCGGCAAGCTGGTGGCGCTAATGACCACCCAACATTTATGACATTTCTTCAGCTGTATCGTTTACTTTCTGTGTACAAGATTTTTAAACCACCTGCATTTGGCAACTGCACAGTTATAGATAGAACGTCAGCTCCAAAAATCAGTTTTGAAGACTTTAAAAATATATTTTCGGCACCTGAAATTGGACGACAAACACATTTAACTGCGATTAAAGGGAAAATAGATAATCTATTGCAACAAGATCAAGACACTGAGGCTGAGGATGTTTTTGAAGATGTAAATCTACAGAATACCTTGAATAATGATGATACTAATTATTTATCCAAAATAATGGACTGTGTAGTTTACTACTTAGCAGGCTTTATTTCAAAAAAATTATTTAAATTAAGTCATAGTATCACATGTAAATCACTTCTTTATTCTAAGGAACAGATTTTTGATGATAACGCAGGCGAGTTGACACAACTCAAGTCCCGAGGATTTTTAAACCATCCAAATACGTCGATGTTCCAATTTTTGAAAGAAGTGGAGTCGATACTCATCACTCACATCAATTCTGTGGACGTTTTTGAAGAGACAGTTTCTAAAGTGTACGAAGTGGGACTTTCCTTTACTTTTAATTGTCAGGAGCACAAAAGAGATATATTATCTCAGACGCTGTATTTCTACATAATTATGAGAGTTAAACAGTATTATAAGCAAGAAGTAAGAAAATCGAAACCAAAATCTGCCATAAAAAGAAAAGAATCGCGGCTGCAGCAGAACTAAATACCTATTTTAAACGAAATATTTTGTAAAAACTGCGTATCTAGGCTATTTATCACTTAAACAAAAAGTAGCAGCTGTTTTAATAAAATAGTTATTTGTTTCATTAGTACAAAAAATGTCAGTTTTCGGGACGAGGAAGATAACGCGTCGTCCAGTAACCTTCCGAGTCCCGAAAACGCATTTTTTGTACGAATAAAACATAAAATTTTTTCTCCAACCCCCTTTACTTCAAATTATATTCGAATTTAGATTCAGTCACAGTTTCATTACTAGTATAAGAACTTCTGCTTTCTTGTCCTCACGTGTCATGCCACTCTAGTTTTTAGGTTAACTTATAACCTATTCGTTCTTACTTCTCACCTCTCGCGACTTTATAAGGAGCAAATCTTGAGGTAGCATGTTCTGCCGTTTCTATAATCTCTGGCGGAGTGCAATCCATGTCGCTATCAGTTTCAGTCATTTTATTGTATACACAATTAATATTGTTATATTTTGTATTGACATAAAAAACTTACCATACAGTTTTTTAATTAAAATTAATTGCAATTAACTTTTTCAAATTTTGAATTCAAAATGACAGATAATAGTGCAATGGGTCTGAAGTAGATGGCGTTAAGCGCGACGGCGGGTTGTATACGTATTAAAATTACATTCACGGAATATGTAAATTACGTTACACATGGTTTAAATAAAAATAGCGAGCGTAAATCATTTTCAATACATGTACATCCGTATAGGTAACATCATTATTTGCATTGAATACGCAAAAATATTTGATTTGTATGTATATAGAAATATCTTACAACCTGCAATGTAAAACGATGTCAATGTGACATATCTCCGTGATTGTAATTTTTTAATTGGCCAACTTTCAAGGTCAATTTCTTTTTGGTAGTAGGACCAAAAGTATCCACTTTTTGTACAGTTGCCATGGTGAAAGCGATTAATCCGCAAAACGTCAATTTTAGGTACCGAACACTGTCACAAAATAGCGTCTTATTCAGGTGGTTGGAGAAAAAAACAATTATTGCGTTATTCCGTGTTGCGTATAAAGAATAACATTCCTTCAAAAGGATCGTGAGCGGTATGACGGTGTTTTCTATCATTCATTAAATACAATCAATGTGATACCATTAGGCCAAGTTATTTTTTTTTAGTAAATAACATTCATTCATTAACTATTGTAATTAATTGTGAGTTAATGAGTACCCAGTTAATTACCAAAAAAGGAGCTAATTCTCATAACGTCGCGGATAGTCAATGGGAGGCTAATGCGAGTGAGTGAGACACACCAAGCCAACGAACGCTTTCTCCGTCACCACCCAAGCGTTGCACGTTCCGGGACACTTTCATACAGTCGTCGGAGTACCTTACTCTCTTATACCGTGATCAAATCTAAAATTAAAATGTCTCATTGTCTGCCAATGAAATGCTCTGTTTCATCAGATATTTGGGTTTAATTATTGGGGAAACTCGAAAACTTGGGTTGTATGGGTAAAATTACGTTCCATATTAGATATTCTTACAGCTCCGAATTTGCAGTTTTCCGAGGGATGTAGGTTAAAGATTGAAATTGAGGAATGTTTGGAAATAGTCATTAAATATTTTAAAAAATTGAAACCAAAACACTACAACGCACTACATTATAGTATGATTTTTGGCATGTGTGGACCTTTTGTACAATATTGGGGCATGGAGTTTGAACAAAAGCATAAAGAATCTAAAAAAAAATTCGAACGTGTAGCATGATTATTCCCTAATATTAAAACTAAGTTCTACAACAGCTACCCTCACTTTCGCAGATGGCAAGAGAGCAGGTAGTTGAGGGATTAGACCCGACCACCCTAAACAGTAGTCGGTCGGAATTGGTACCATAAATATGTAGTCCGATTGTGTGTTACAATTCACTTGTATATTTAATATCAATAGACTCAAATAATTATGAAGGCTTTTAATTCTGACACCCCTACAGTCTTCAGAAGCGGGATAAAGATCAAAGTGAATTAATTGTTGTTATTATGCGATCTAAAGTGAAAGTTTCGTCGTTGAATCTTTATGTTAGCGGGAGTGACTTACGCAAAGAATTGTAAAACAAGTCCCGTTCAACATTGTGGAAAAAGTTAACCGTGAGTAGCTAATTGAAATATTTGAAAATGCCACGTTTAGATGAAATTGAGGGCTTGGCTGAGGCCGTCCGTAATGCTTCAGTTAAAGTTGCGAAAGCACTTGATTTCTTTATTTGTCTTGAATAATTTGAAAAATGCCAATGTTACATTGCAAATGTTCCCCGAGAAAAGAAGAAGCCGTGTCGAAATAGCGTCTGGAAAAGTAGAAAAACCGCTGAAACATATAGTATAGTCACGTCGTTTGCAGTGTCCACTTTAAGGATGATAATTTTTTTTGGAAGATACAAAAAGGAAAGGACCCTGTGCCTCAGCGCATAAAGTTTTGAGAAGGCTGACAATACTGCAATCCCTTCTTTACATCTCACAGGAAACATAGGTCCCAATAAAGCTATAAAACGTCAGTCAACTTATCTAAGAAAGTAAGAATGCTTATTGTGGGTAAACGATCAATTTCGTAGTGGAGAAACCAGTTCAACATCAACCATATGCCACAATCAAACAGAAGAACTGAATCAAATGGAATCAATACCGCTTACTGAAAGCATAGGTACCAAATCTGAGCTGGGTACAGAAATTTATTACAAATATTCAAATTTATATGAGGATATATGTTCGGATGATACTTCAGTAAGGTTTTCTTGTTTTTTTCAAAGGAATGCGAAATAGAATATGAAAGAACTGACGCGTTCGGACTGCTTGAATCCGTGCCGCCGCATCCACGATGTCGGGATGACGTCACATGTTATGTCTTTCAAACTTTCATCGTTAATAATTTGAAAACTACTCATCGTAGAAAACTCCGGTTTGAAATTTTGTTCGTAGATTTTCTTCTACAATTTTTTTGATTTTGGGTATACTACCCCTTTAATTATCAAGGAACTGTCGACGATTTAAGCAAACGCATGACGTCGTTTCTTATAGATTTTAATGTAATTGGTGGTATACAAGTAAGTAACGCCGATAGTGGAGAAGATTCGGGAGAAGATACAGAAGATGACAGGGAATTTCACGAGAGTGACGAAGTGGTCGAACGATTACCTTCTGGAAACTCGCGTATCGGGGAAAATAAGTTAACCATTGACGGTCCTCGATTCACAATGAATTTTCGTGATATCGAAGATTCAATTCGTACATACGATGGTGAAAATTCCTACCCAATTGGAGATTGGATTACTGATTTTGAGGAAGTAGCAGAGGTAATGGGGTTTAATATGCTTCAAAAGTTAGTATTCGCTAAGAAATCATTAACTGGTCTTGCGAAATTACATGTACAAAGCGAAAGGGGATTAAACAACTGGGAGGCGCTAAAAAGAAGTTTAAAAAGTTAATTCGGCCAGAGAATTAGCAGTGCTGATTTACATCAAAGCTTGAGCCGGCGGAAGATGTTAAAAACGGAATCCGTGCTCGAATATATGCACAAGATGAAAGAACTCGCCCTAAGAGTAAAACACGGCCTAGCCGCCACAAAACTTCTAGAAGTAGAACAAAGCGAGCGCAAAAATTGAGACAATTTTGGATCAGCAAGAGCAACATTGAAGAAACTACTCTTCCTCGGTATTATTTAATTACTTATTCTTGTAATTTACGTCAATATGTTAATTCATCTACAGCACTTCTGCAAGTACTACAATTTGCAATCCCCAATCGCCTATTTTTTAAAACACTGTGACGAATTATGGGACGATAACGAGGATAATATGGATACACCTGTCGCAGATATAGATGTGGCAGCTGAAGATGCTTGGGGCAGAAATGAAGAATTTGACAAGTATGTTTCTTCATTATTGAGTTCTGGATATTTTACTGTTTTCATTGTAGTATCATGGCGGAGAAGTTAGAAATTGAAACGGTACCGCAGCAAGAGGCAGAGGGAGTGGCAACAGAATTGTCAACTTAAAATTTTTCAGTGAACGGCTAATTATTGGATACGGAGCAGCATGCACGTCAGTGTACATGTGGACATCTAATAATGGACAAGGAAAACCAACGTGGCTTGCATTCCATCATAACATTCAGTTGTTTAATGTGCGAAAACACCTACTCGTGCTCCCTATAGATTTTAACAAAGAGAACGTAAACTGGCAGCACATTTAAACAACGGAAGAACTTCTTTGTGTTATGGATATTCCGCCATTATCAGGGACACTCTTTTATGAACTTCAAGATGAGTTATCTACGGTAAGATTCATTCATTCATTTGTGATGAAATGCAATTTAAACAACTATTAAATAGGCTTGGATGCATGTTCAACGCAGGCAAGAGACTGAATTTAATTTTTTAGATATTATCTCCAGAATGTAACCCTGCATCACTTTCTACCAATGGCCTATCAAGTAGTGGCAATGAGAATGAGGGTATTACACATGATACAAAGGGTATTACATCGGTAGGAAGTAGCGAGACTTATGACTGGTCTCAATGGGGTCCAGCTGCGTTAAGGCAACCTAGAAATAAAAGATTAAGCCTATGTAGGTATTACTTTTTGACTTGAAATTAATATAATTATGAATGGGTTTTTTGTAGCAGCGACATCCAAACAAAATAAACCCAATGCTATAATACTATTGGCGGAAGCCAAAGTAGAGCTGGCGAAGATCCAACTGCAACTGGCAGAAAATAATAAAATAAATCATGCATGAGAGGGTTCAAGACTAGGCTAAAAAAAGAAATGTTTTATTTTCAAAGTTAATAATTTCACAATGTCATTTTTTTTTTCTCTATCATATGCGTGTATGAGAATTTAATGGTTAGGTGGAAGAACAGCTTGAGGCTGAACTTCGCCAAATAAAGACGTTTTATTATTATATTATTATTATTAAAAGAGAACTAAAAATGTTTCAATAGCAGCTCATTAGCGAAAACCCGAAGTCTTTAGAACGGAACAGGCAGACAGACGCAGGAAAATTCAAGATATAAGCGTTACCGCAACTTTCCACACGGACGAATAAACACGAAGGTTTCTTAAAGAAGCTGTTCGGCCTGTGGGCTTTTGCTTCTTAACAACAAATCACGGTAAAAATTTAACCTCGTAATGCTATAAATAATAAATGTTTTAAATTGTCTTGTGAGAGTGGGCACTCATAATTCATGTCTGTTAATGAAAGAACTTGGATTTTGCCAATTTCAAAAAGGGCAAAACTAATTTTTAGCGTAATTTGGCGAACATAAAGGATTATGAAAACTTTGTGAACATTCTAATTGAGTTCACTCGCCTGTTAAAACAATTTTCAAACAAAAACGTAAGGAAAGGGACTTGAAGTTCTCGTTTAAAAAGAGTATAAAGAAAATGTTCCAATTTTAATTACATTCTTCATACGACGGCGCACGTTCAAATTTCTAAGGTGTACTTCTAACACGAAAATTCATCTAATAAAGTTGATATTAAAGTGACAGGGGAACATCTGATACTGCTTCTACGGACCCGTGTAATTAAAACATGTCAGTTACAAAAGCTTTGCAATAAAATGTTACTAAAACTTTAACGCCAGACATATACTATTAACGGTGCGCGTAACTACTCAAGTTTTTTAATAGTACCTAACTCATAAAGTTTACCGATAGCTTAATTACACGTTGTTACTTCACTTATACTAAATGGAACACATGCAAACTTACTTGAATAATGGTTGTGATTTGTAGGTGTCCCTGAAGGTTTTTCGCGAGTCATGTCCTCCTCGGATTTCATAATTTCCTCAGAGTCACCATCCAAGTCCATAGGTTCGTCTAGTATCCACTCCACTATGCCCAAATAGATTAATAAAAGTTCTTCAAATAGTCTCTGCTTGCACACAAGTAACAGACCCGAGCACTAAACTAACTATTTTATACAATGGAAGTCTTTGTTTTTAAATGTCTCAACTTGCTCTAGTTTTGTATTATTTCATATATTAAAGTATTCAGGGTTGAAACTCGTTGTGTGTTGGCTTCTCGTTTCAGGGTATTTACTCTTTACAGCTACACGTGCATGCTACTTTTGCATAGCTATTATATTTTCTTTGATGTTTGCCTTTAAACCTGAAACAAAGACACTATTTAGTATGCTATTGTTTCCAGTACTGACATTTTTAATGTAATATTAACCTAGCTTGATAAACAAAAGTGAAAGCACTCACGCCCGGTAACCAGCTTACATCTTTTTAAGTGAGACTTTTTATGAATTTAATATATCTCGTCTAACACTAAAGGCGCGCATTCAGACTCATCAGAACATTTTTTATCAATCAGAAAACCATGTACATAACTTAGCTTCAGTAAATAATACAGTAGGGCCTTAAAACATTGTATCTGCGAAGCGATGAATTTAAGTGATTGAATCTTTTAAGATTTTAAACAATTAAATAAAGTGAGTGATTAACATTTTTTCCTTTGTTTTTGTTTTTTATAGGAGATACCCTGATACACTCGTGTTACTGCAATTACGCGCCCAATCGAGAATCGGCACTAAAACCGGTTCTTTACCTGTTTGCACTTTAGGTTTAGGTAGCAAATCATACATTTGTTGTTCATAACTTGTTAGTGCGAGCAAGATGTACAATTAATCTATTATTTCTATACTTCGATTATCTACAGTCTACAATACAACTATACGAAACAACTCGTATATTTAATAAATGGAACGAAAAAAGGTTTTCGCGTCAGTACGAGCAACTTTAGAGTTTAGAGCATTTTCCATGAAATGATCAGTACTTCCCGAAAGGTCATCTCAAGGACTATTTATGTGTAGAAGAGAGTGGGGCACACGGGACCGGCGGAGCACACAGGACTTTGTTTATATTTTTGTTGCAGTTGCTGCCATCTGTTCAGTGTTGTAGATTATTAACACTCCTTAGTAGAGCATGTCGTTCTGTAGTAACAGATTCTCTGTATAACTACTAGTATTCTTGTGGTGTGCAAAAATACGTTTCTTAAGGTAAGTAATGCAATTTTTTCTCATCTCAGATTCAGATCTCTTAAAACGACATATGCAATTCAGAGTATCACTAATGAAGTATTAAACGCGTATAGTGTAGAATTTTCGCGTTATTTTTAAATAACATAACCTAATTTTGTTTTCTAACATGCGGTATTGGTGGGTCCTGTGTGCCCCCCTACCAGTCCCATGTGCCCCTTTGCTGATCCATAACCATTTCATATGGTTCGTGTATGTAAAAAAAGAAATGGACAATGGACGGTACAAGATGTCGATGCAGCTATTAGTGCAATAAATAATAGTAGGGGAGCTAGCACGAAATCCACTGAACGAGAATGATCAAAATTTTAACCGATGGAGTTCCATTTTGCCCTATCAGAGTATGCTAGAATCGATCGTCTGCCGCCTCAGGTCATACGACTTAAGGCGCTGCGGGTACTTCTTGCGGTACCAATTCTGAAAGGTTGTTTTTCGAAAAAATAAGTTATACACCAAATGAAAACGTTGACAATAGCTCTTAAAAAAATATTTTAAAAAATCGCGCGCATTTGATAACTCCGTAAAAAAACAATTCTTGTCGGTTTTTCACGAAGTTTCTACGGATATAACTAGGTTACGGTTGGACGAATGAAGCCGATTTTTTTTACAGACTGATGATAGGTACTACTAATGACATAACGGTGTTTCATTTTTAAATTTTTTCTCTAATTACAAGATTATCTTATTATCTTAACATTATAAGATATCTTATAATTAGAGAAAAAATTTAAAAAAGAAACACTCTCATAGTCATTGGCTGTACCTATCATTAGTCTGTAAAAAAAAATCAGCTTCATTCTTCCAACGGTAACCTAGTTATATTCGTAGAAAGTTCGTGAAAAACCGACTAAGGATTGTTTTTATACGGAGTTATCAAATGTGCGCGATTTTTTTAAATATTTTTTTAAGAGCTATTATCAACGTTTTCATTTGGTGTATAACTTATTTTCTCGAAAAACAACCTTTCAGAATTGGTACCACAAGAAGTACCCGCAGCGCCTTAAGTCGTATGACGTGAGGCGGCAGACGATCGATTTTAGCATACTCTGATAGGGCAAAATGGAACTCCATCGGTTAAAATTTTGATCATTCTCGTTCAGTGGATTTCGTGCTAGCTCCCCTACTATAAGGGTGAATTGTCTACAATTGGCTACACAATACGGAATTTCCAAAACGTGCCTTCTAACAGAAGGCCTTAAAAATGGAAAAATAACACCGCCTCGAAATGATAACTTTAAGCAGGTATTTACAGAGGCCCAAGAACAAGAATTGGTTACTCATATTCTGGATTTAGAAGCCAAATTTTATGGATCACCCCTATGGACATCAGATCAATTGCCTTTCAAGTTGCAGAAAGAATGAAGATTAAACATCCTTTTAATAAAGAGCAGAAAATGGCGGGCGTTGATTGGTTCTATCATTAAAAAAAAAGACATTCAAATATATCGTTGAGAGCACCAGAACCAACTAGCGTTGCTAGAGCGGCTGGTTTTAATAATACACAGGTGACCAAATTTTTTGATCTATTGTCAGCAGTTGTGAAAAAATATAATTTGCAACCTGACCAAATCTACAATGCCGATGAAACGGGTATGAATACAGTCCCAACCCCTCGAAAAATTATCGCACAAAAAGGGCGAAAACAGGTTGGACGCATAGTTAGTACCGAAAGAGGATTTAATGTTACTGTAACTTGTGCAATATCAGCATCTGGTTAGTTATTGTATCCCACCATTTGTACTTTTCCCTAGGAAAAGAATGTCCGAACTATTAATGAAAGGTTCACCCGCTGGAAGTGTGGGATATGCAAATGGTACGGGTTGGATGGATTGTGAACATTTTCTTAAATATTTAGACCATTTTTCCAAACACGCAAATGTAATCCAAGATAGGAAAGTATTGTTGATTATCGACAATCACGCAAGTCTTCGGAATCTTGAAGCTGTTACAAAGGCGCGAAGTTTGAACATTATTATGGTATCGTTGCCGCCGCATACAAGTCACCGTATGCAGCCTCTTGATTGTGGCGTTTATGGGCCCCTAAACAGTCAATATGCCAGAGAGTGTGACAAATGGATCACCAATCATCCAGCTAAAAGAATATCCGTTTATGATATAATGGAAATTTTTGGAAAAGCATTTTTAAGCATTGCCATGCTTGGCAAAGCTGTTAAAGGTTTTGAAGTAACGGATACACGACAAACCTACTGTGAAGACTCTAGTGAATCAGAAGACGATATCAATCCAGAATGTATCTACTGTGTTAGAAAATTTATGAGTTCAAAATCTTCTGAAGAATGGATACAATGCCAAGAGTGTGGTAGATGGGTCCACGAAAAGTGCGGGTGCGTCGGAAGAAGATGACCAGTTCACGTGTGACAACTGCAATGGTAGTACTATTTTACTCCAAAAGAGTTTAAATAAAATCAGTTTATAAATGTGAATTAATTTTTCTGCATATGTTTAACATGGTGGTCCCATGTGCCCCGAGGTGTGGGGCACATAGGACCGGTAGCACACAATCCGTTTTTTTTATTATAATAAAAATCCTGGCAGAGGTTATTATATAATTCGATGCTACATGAACGTGGTTATTATTGGATACAGCATCAATATTCAATAATTAACGATAAGCTAATAATTACTAAAGGATGGTTAACCGGTCCTATGTGCCCCGCTCTCCCCTACAAAGGCAAATAAGTTAGGGCATAAATATTCTTATAAAAAAGAAACGTAGCATTGTGCAGTCTGCGCATGCGCCTATCCGAGATTTTGTTTGATTCAGATCCTGGTACTTCAAAACGTGCATTTCCGTACAAAAAGTGGGAGAGGGGTAATTTTTTACCCAAATGCAAAACCTGTGTGGAGGTAAAAATATAAAATACCAAACACGTTTTATTATTGTACAGAGTGTTTCATAAGGAATTGTAGATACGTTAATATGTTACACATTTGTTCATTTTAAGCAGAAAATCCTAAAAACATGTGCTCAATTCTCCAAGGTAACTGAGATACAGCCAGTTAATGCATAAACTGATATCAAGTGAAGCAATACCGAAATCAAACCTTTGCAGAGAGGTGGATTTTTAAATGGCCATGTTAGGAAAAAATCTGTCGGTCCCTTAGGGTTCAAATTGGGTTCCGACACAAGAAAATCATTGACTGAAAACTCTTACAAACCTGAAAGATTAGAAGGTTTCAATCAAATTCCGATGAAATCACTGCTGAAATTTTGAATAAAGTCGGAAATATCATTCGGATAGAAAGAAATTAGAAAAAGCTGACAGAAAAATGAAAGTACTGGATTTCAAAAGTGCACAATGAGCAATTTGCTGAGGCTAGTACGGGTACCACCCACACACCTGCGCATCCGCCATTGGGCCCAGCTCTTCCATTCTTGTCTAAAAATATGTGTATCAAATTTAGTAATAAACACAAACCAAGGTAAAAAAAGCGCGGGAAGTCGTAACACAATATCGTGGAGTTCTACGAAAGAACGTATCATAAAAACTTTGTTCCACGCCACTTCTTCGCCGTTAGTAAAAAAAAATCGCGTATATGCTCGAAGTCCCCTTATAAAAATTTAAACATCTGGAAAACCATAAGAGAAAAATAGTACACAATACAGGGTGTATCATTAATATTGCGAAAAAATTCAGGGTGAGATTCCTTGTATAAAAATAAGAATAAAAGTTCATATAAACATGTAACAAAAATGCATATCGCACATTTCACTATTTGCGTAATTCATTTTGAAAAAGAAACCTAACAACTGTCAAATCGCTGTAAAGTAACGACTTTTATATAAAAAGTCAATGGCACTCTCGATAGAGTGATCCGACAAGTGATGATGCAGAGGAAACAAAAAAGTTTTATTTTCAATTGCATAATATTCAACGCCCTATATCTCGGAAACGAGGCATTTTTGGAAACATGTTTATATGAACTTTTATTCTTAGTTTTATGCTAGGAATCTCACCCTGAATTTTTTCGCAATATTAATGATACACCCTGTATATTTCCAATTTTATAAAATCGCGTATAGATGTGAAGTGGTTAATTGGAATTTGCGAGGTCGATACTCGAATTCAGACCTTTATAGAATGTAAGAAATTTTAATTTCTGCGTAATCCTTGAATGAATCTATGCAAAAGTTCTTGGATATTTTGAAGTTGTGATTGTGTTAATACTATAGCACTTCTAGAACTAATTGTATTAACACATTCTATCCAAAACCGTCAAATGAAGAAGTTATACCTTCAATTTTAGTGAAAAAATTACACATTATCCACTATAGTCTGTCTAAAATTGACGCGAAGTAATAAATAATAAATTGGTGAAATAGAAATAGTATTTTTGTATGGAAGTGCTTCTCTGTCTGTCTAACAAGTAAATTTATTACTTTGCGTCAATTTTAGACAGACTATAGTAGATAATATTTTGATTACTCAAATAACTAACCACAACTTAATGGAAAGCTCGTCCTACGCGCTTTCGATTTATTTCATATAAGTAATGAAATTATATTCACATTAACCGTCGCAACCCATTTCGGAAAACACATCAGGTTTTAATACCAATAACTTTTTTTGGTTAAATAAATAGCTATTAGGTAAACTTTGATACTTTTATATTGGTGCGTACACTAATGCCGCCACAATAACTAAACACCTCCGCTAAATTTTCCGTTTTACTATTTTAACGTTTGAACCGTTGTATCATTAATCCTCTACAGGATTCACATTTACAGAACGCTGACTGTTTTTAACACATAAATAAATAACAACGCAAGTCATATGAGTATACATAATTTAGTTGTTGACCACTCTAGACGCAGTATTTTAAAATATTCACGAGGAAACTAGACATCTTAGGTCGCGTTACAAATAAAATGTTTTACTATTTCGCAGTAAACTTTTACAATCTCATTTTAAAAACAAAATCTGCCCTTTGGCAATATTAATGCGGATATCCTTTCGTATAAATTTCAGGGTATGTACCGAAATTTAAACACGGAAGGTGGAATATACCTGTATTCATGCCTAAGCGGAATTACGCCGGTTCAGTGGTTATCAACTCAAAACGTCTAACCCATTGTATTTAATTAATCAGTTCTAAACGTTGTGAAATTAGTGGACCTTAAACCAAGAAACTTATGTAGAGTAGGGTATTGTATCTACGTCCATGAGTCAATCTATTATAGTTTCCTGTGTTCCTTAGCTTACTGAACTCCTAAATAATTAATTTCCGAATCGGCATTTAATTATTAATATGCGGTTTTCATTTATACATATGGAATTCCAGTAGTGTTTGAAAGATTTAATAATCTACAAATCCAATAACATACTAGAAATTGTCGACTTGGAGATACTGTAATATTCCAATAAAAACATAATTGTTAATTATCTTTATTCCTGTAATTACATATCTAACTTAAATTGTCTAGCCTCATTCACACTTCGATTATTAATTACTACTCTACATTTCTCAGTCGTTCCTCAATCAATCACCTGTCCCCCTACTTAACATAAATTTACATTTTCTACAATAATTCTATTATCTAGTTTCCACTACACGTTCCCCCTTTTTTTTGGGAAAATTTTTATATAAAGGAAAATTTACACAGAATAACATTTTGCTTACGTATACTTAAATCTAATTGTACACATTTAGTTGCAGAACGTACTGCCCTAATTCCTCTAATATTCTACTATTATAATCTGTGTTTTGCCTTTTTTCCTGATTATCCTTAATTCTATTACATTTAAACCTATTGGCGTCATTAAGCAAACTTACAAAATCGACGAATTTTACCATTACTAACTAAGTGAGAACTAATCCTTTTTTGACTTATGCACATAATTAAATAAAATATTAAGTCTGTATTTTCTATTTGTCGCTTACGTGTGGATACCGCTTAAAGTTGGGACGTTCCCCGGGATGCTACCGATGGGACTGCTAATGGTAGCTGCGTGCTACTTCTTCCATATGGCGCCTAATTCTCGTCCATAGAAAATAGATGATGAATAATGTCCGGGAATTACACATGTTTTCACTAGTTTACTTCTTTGCCCTTCAATATTTGGTCCTTTTAGGCAGGATCGCCATGTAATGTTCCAATAAAATCATAATTGTTAATTATCTTTATTCCTGTAATTACATATCTAACTTAAATTGTCTAGCCTCATTCACACTTCGATTATTACTACTCTACATTCCTTAGTCGTTCCTCAATCAATTGTAACAGTATAATGACATCACTACTATTTGCGGACGACCTAAAACTTTTTAATAAAGTCCAATCCCCAAGTGACTGTTTAAATATTCAAGAGGACATTAACTCAGTAATTAAGTGGTGTATCAAAAATAAACTAAAACTAAATATCAATAAGTGTAAAGTCCTTACTTTTACTAGATCGAAAAATCCCTTACTTTTTGACTATAAGATGAATGGAAAGGTCTTACTACGAGTCACCTCCGTTAAGGACCTGGGCGTGTTTTTCAATACCAACCTTAACTTTAACTTACACATTGAATACCTAACAAATGAGTGTTACAAACTTCTTGGTTTCGTTATCAGGCATACACTCAATTTCACGAATATACAGACAATGCTAACCTTATATAATGCGTTTATTAGATCCAAGCTTGAGTATGCTGCATGTATCTGGTCTCCTCAAACTCTCAAATACTCAGACATGATCGAAAAAGTGCAGAAAAAGTTCATCCGAGTAATGTTTTTTAGGTCAACCCAAAATTATCCACATTTGATCTCTTACGGTACCCAGCTTAATTACTTAAATAGTACTTTCGGCTTAGATATAACGAGGTTAGAAACCCGACGGTACATTGCCTCCACAATTTTTGTCTTCAAAATTTTACACAACTTGTTATACTCTTCCGAATTACTTCAAGAAATTAAGCTTAAGGTACCATTTGTTAAGCTAAGGCAAAATAATACTATTTTTGTAGTTAACAACACAACTTCCCCACTTATTAAGATCTTGATCGCTTTAAATAAGTTATCCTCAGTTAATGATATCGACTTTTTTCACGATCCCCTAAATTCAATAATAAATAAAATTAGATCCTAGTCCTAATATTTGTTCAGAGCCCCAGTACCATGTAATTGGAATTTTTATTCTGTATGGTTTCTGGTTAAATAAATAAATAAATAAATAAAATAAATCCTGTATGTATACTTACTTTGAGAACGGTTATCGCTACGAATGAACGTAAAGTTATCAATACAAATAAATGCAGACGATGACATTGGTGTTCAAGCTGTGAGAGCGTATTAAAGCGAATTTTTAAAATTTATATATCACTTAATATTTACCCTTCAGGGGATTTGTTTAATTAAA